CTATTACATGGTGGGGGGTCCTCCTAATATATAGATAGTATATAATAGGGCTTCTTAACAGCAATCCAGTCCATTCCTCAGTTCTTGTTGGCACCCGTAGGCTTTGCTTCGTTGAGTTGATTGCCCTGAGGTCCCAAGTAACTTCAAGGTGCCTTGAGTTTGGGTTTAGGGTTTAGGGGTTTGCTGAAGCTGCAAGCATTTCGTATTCCCCAAGAAGCCCTACGGTCACGCTTTTGAACCTGGAGCGTGGTCAGCCTGAATCCCTGACAGAGGCAGTAAAATGGCCCATTTACATTCGGACATTTCAATGCCAATTACTACCTGGACCCCCAAAAGTAGGTAATTATTCTACTAAACCCTAAACCCTAGACCTACATGCGTTTAGCGTTCAGGTAGGTTACCTTTCCCGGATGTTGGCCGAGCCTTGCAGAGGTAGTGTAAAAGACCTGTTTTTCTTTGGTTTTGGGTTTTGGGTTTGGGGTTTTAAAAAGAGGCGCCGTGCTGCAAAGCTGGCAGTGATGCCTCCGTGCTGAATTTCCTGAAGGCACATAGGGGGGAAAATGCGTTTAGGGTTCCAGAGTTCTCGAAGGTTGGGGTTTAAAGCCTGCGGTGTCTAGGGCTAAAGAGTGCAGAAATGATAGGGTCCAGAGTTAGAGTTCCGGAGCGTGGAGAGAACAGCCAACCTGTCCCTGTTTGATGCCTGAGCGAGTTGCTTCGGGCAAAGACATACCTGCAGGGGTGTTGAAGAATACCCATTTCACCCTCATGCAGTTACAGGTCAGTATACCGAAAAACCCCTGTTCCAATTATGTAAGCTTCTGTATATATCATGTGCCAAATCCCATGGTCTGCTCCTTCCCGCCATGGATCATCAAGGGCAGGAACCCAAACTTGGAGACTTGCGTGGCAGGTATTGGTGGAAAACAAGCGAGCCCTGCTGTCCCGCAGGATCGATATCTTTGAGGCTTGGGCTGGGAGTGAGTTACCCCAAAGCCTAAACCCTTCCAACAGCGGTCACATATCGTCTGGTTTGCTGTTATGGAAGTTAGATTAAGTTACCATGGTATGCATATATGGTAAACAGTAGGATGTCCGTATAAGACTTACCCCATGTAAGCTCCTTAAATGCAACCCAATGGCCCGGGGGCTCACCTCTCGAAGCTAGGAGTCCCTTGTTTACCCCATCAGCCCCTAAACCCTAAATCCTAAATGTTTCAGGCTAGAGCGTTCGCTGCTGGGAGGGCAGCTTGACAACTCCCATGGTTATGTTCTGTACACCTTCTCAAAAACTTGGTAACATCTTCGGGCTGGCACAGACAGCCCATCTTGCGAATGCCATGCTTACAGCATAGTAACTACGTGCAGAAGGTAATGGGCGGCAAGCAGATAGTTCCTGCAGTCTTGGTGAGCACCACCCTAAGCCCTAAATCCTCTTCCATCCCGTTCCCTGAATCAGGATTTGTGTATCGATGTTAAGTTTGTCATCGCAAAAGTCCCGATGATGATCCTCATGTATATTCGGTCGCTACATCGTTTGTGTAGTGATCCTATAGTCATCTGCGCTTCGTCTATGGTCTTTTACACGAAAATCGCCTTCTTTGGTTCAACCACCAAAACACAGACTCGCTTGATCTCAAAGCGCATCTGCTAACGTGAGTATTTGTGTATCAATGATTGGCACTACCACAGGAAACCTAAGCCCCCACCGAAAAAAATACGGAAAGTACTATAGTATATAGGGTTTCTATTAGGATAATGGAAAAGAAAATGGAAACTACTACAGTATATTGGGGTTATACTGAGATAATGGTAAAGAGAATGGAAACTATGACAAACCCGAACCAACAAGCCTGTCCCTTGTTCTTCGTGCTAAATGCGGAGGTCTTCAAAGACCCACTACGTTCCCTAAACCCTAAGTTCTAAACCCTAAACACTAGAGTCTTAACCTAGAGAAGGTGGAACAATTCTCGGACCAGCCTCGTACTTCTCGAAACGACCCTTATAAAGGAGCCTCCCAGTTCCCCTCATCATCTATACACATTTTCTCCGGGTCCCTACAGCCCTTTCCTTTTGAAGAAGCTGCTGTAGTCCTGGGTCTTGGGTACTGCCCCCACTCAGTAACAATAACTGAAAGTTGTACTATGCACAGCCATGAACATTACACCTATTCTAGCCCGCAACCCTAAACCATTGGGGGCAGGAGCGAAGTCATGCCCAGCAGGTGACCTCGGCGGCTACCCTGTCCGATGCACAGAGACAGAAATCTCAGGCCTGGCGTCCACCATCGGGTCTTGGGCTAGATTTTACTCACGCCAAATAGTAGTTTCCATTTTTCCTTTCCCCATGTGACCCCAACATACTATAGTAGTTTCCATTTTCTTTTCCATTATCCCAATACAACCCCAATATACGACAGTAGTTTCCATTTTCTTTTCCGTTATCCCAATATAAACCCTATGTACTACAGTACTGTCCATTTCCTTTTTCATTCTCACAATATCACCCCAATGTCCTATGGTAGTTTCCGCTTTCTTTTTCGTTATCCCGAAGAAAAACCAATATATCCTAAACCCTAAGCCCTATTTTAGTCTTTGGGTTTAGGGGTCTCAGTGCTTGTGGCTCTTTAACCTGCGCATCCTGACCTCTAGGGTTGTATACTGGCTTATCTGAGATGTATGCAGGCCATTCAAGCTTTAAGGTTTAGGGTTTCTGGGTAAGATGTATGTGGGTCATTCAAGTTTTGAGGTTTAGGGCTTCTGGGTAAGATGTATGTAGGTCATTCAAGTTTTAAGGTTTAGGGTTTCTGGGTAAGATGTATGTAGGTCATTCAAGTTTTATGAGTGGTTCTATGAGATGTTACAAGCGACGCCTTCTCTTGCATGAGCCCATTTCAACATGAGGGTAGCCAAGGTATGAAAGGTGCCCTTACACACCCTAAACTTGGTGATCCTTACCAAAGAGATAACTTTGGGCTGATATTGGGATAATATGGTGTTGTATAGGGTCATCAGGGGTTCTATTGGGATAATGGCAAAGAAAATGGAAACTACTATGGTATATTGGGCATCTATGGAACGGACTCTTTTTTTCTTGGCGAAGGGGGGAGGGGGTGTTGCGGTAGATGCGGGGAATAAGTTGGCACACATGCCCAGCTCACTTGTTCGTAGCCTTCGATCAGTTCACGTTTAACACGGCTAGTTTTTTTGCTGTGCCATTCCCACATGGGTGGTTGTCAAAATTATGGTCCCTTTTTGGGTCCCTACTAATTATAATACGGCACCTAATAATTATAGGGTACCCAAAAAGGGACCATAATTTTGACAACCACCCACATGATGCTGATCTTCTGCCTTTGGAGTTATAGTCCCCCTTAAGTAGATAGAATATGAGGTATATAGGAATCTTGCTATAATATACCCCAAGCCACATTCTATCTACTTAAGGAGGACTACAGATATTCTTAAGGAGCTTTACCCTTCGCCTTCCGTTTCTTTGGCCAGGCTTGCTTGTAGGATTGCTGTTTTGGGATGGGGAGGAGCTTCGTTTCGTAGGTTGCGAGCTACTCCTCAGGGTGAGTCTCATTATCATATTGACCTTGCATCGAAGCATTTAAGAAAAGTTTTTTGTAGCTGTCTTAGCGTGTCCGGCTTGGAACAAGGATTTCTCCTGCCAAACGAGAGCATTGCCTAATGACATTCTTCCGTCAGTGTCTTTGGACAAAAGGTTCCTATTGTCTTGAAGGAGACCTGGGACCTTACCATACATCATTGGCCAGCAGCATGTAACGTGCACTGCAATCCACTGTCACGATCCTGGGAGCCGAGGGTGCAGGCAAGGATTCCAACGCAGTCAAGGTTCAGAATCTTAATGATGCAGATTCCTGAGCAATCTACATACTGCAAAACCTGCAAATCGGCAGCGTAGTTGCATTTTTGTCGATCCCACACGCGGTTGAATAGTTCAATAGGCTTTGGGTGGCTCCCTCACGCACTGGCAGCTTGTTGGAGGGACACCAGCGACCGTATACGGGGTAGATTGGGCTACTTTCAGAAGTCAGTTTTGGGTCCGACCTCTTGGGTACCACCTTACGCATCAGCCTTTCTGCGTCCCGCGACTTTCGAAGGTCTCAGAGCTGGTCATCGAAGGGTTTGGCAAAAATGCGAGGGCCCCAGGACAAATATGAGGGGACAACTGGTGTCCTTTCTAGGGGCTCTATGGTGTTTTTTTGAGGAAGCCCCATGAAGCAAGGCATATCAGGGTAAAGGGTCTAGGTCGAAGCTGCTTCGCGCGGGTAGCATTGCGTATTTCTGTCCGTGGATGGCTGTCATTGGTTATTATAGGCTACGTGGTAAAAAGAGCCATGACAGCCATGTTTGACAGACATGAAGGATCAAGGCCCACACAGGGATATGATCGTGATCGTATGCGAGCTTCAGAGAGCAGCTAAGGCTCGAAGACCCGGCTTTGTGCAAGCCCCGGAATCGCAGGGCCTCTGCAGCAAAAGCTACCGCAGGCAGCGTTGCAATCAGGCATCGCTTTAGATCTTGAAGCTGAGGCTTCGCGGCCTGGTTGTGAAAATGAGCGAGGCAACGCTTAGAGTTTGCGCTTCGCTGTGGCAGACTTGTAGAAGCAACTGCTGTTCAATTGCCGTCCAAGATTTGAGACTTTCATCCCTGTTCAATAGCTCAGCTCCCGTTGGCTTGAGCTGCGCGCTTCGCTTCTTCACATGAATCCTTTCAAGGTACTGCCTTGCGCGCGCCATATGTGTGGAAAAACGCAATGGGCCGTGCCTGTCGACATGCTTGGCGTCCATGCGAAATTTGCTCACGGGTTGAGGGGCCCCTTCCGTAGCGATATCGGCACTCCGGATGCGCTTGGAAGCTTTGGGCTCAAAAATCTCCCGTCGCATTCAGCCTTCGCTTGCGCAATGCAGCGGCGCCGTCCCGTGGGGTTAAATCCAACCCTGCTGGAGGGTTCGCCGCGGAACGCGGCCGGAGAGTATGCAGCCTGCATGGGCCTGGAGGAGGACGTGGACGCTCAGGCAGCAATGCGCGCGGACGGCCTTGCGTGGAAGGAGCACTTGCGTTTTCCAGAGGTGCATGTTGGGCTTGCTAGATGTTTGCCATGCTCTTGGCCAGGAATCCGAGAAGGCACTGCGTGCCGAGTCGGAGCCACAGCCGACGGTGCTCGACTGGCTGGCCGAGCTGCTGTGCTGCTGCGGCAAGCGGGAGGGCCATTGAGTGCCCAAGCAGCATTAGTGAGAGGGAATAAATTGTTTTGTTCCACAAGCGTCGGCAAGCTGTGGGTCTTCCTTTAAGCCTCTGACTCTTAGTAAATGAATGCTGTAGTGCTTTGCCAATCATATTCGTGGCAAGTGGTTCGAGCAAGGAGTTTTGCCTCGTAGAGTGCTTGCATGCTGCAACTTGAGAATTACGTTTCCCCGGCATGTCTTACCTGTTGGCGTCCCCGACCCACACCGGCTTGCCAAGGTTGCAGAAATTGTGTATGCCACCTTCGCATGTTCACAAAGATAGCTTTTTGCAGGACTGAGCCCGTCATGGCCATTGCCACTGCCTTGAGCAAAGCTCTCCAGGAGAGTTGAGCTTTGCAATGCCTGTTCCAACATGTCTAGCCCCCAGCCTTTTGCTGGTAGTACTTTTTGTGGTCTTCAGCGAAGCTTTCCAACCTCCAGAACCCACTGTGGGCTTTCAGCTTTCTCAGCGGCAGATGATTCTGTGGAGGATGTGGAGATTGCGATGAAGACCACGAGGATGATGAAGCTGGAAAGCAAGGACCGCCTTTGCTCCGCACAATCCCGAAAGATCTCGCCCCCAAATTTAAAGCCCACAGTCTAAGCCGATGAAGTTGCCGCAGAATTTCAGAGCAGTTACAATGCCAACGAGAGGCTGCCCAAATGGATGCCGTTTGCACCAATTCTGGCAGCGATGCTTCCGTACCGGCGTTCCTCAAGGACATCCCTATCTCAGCAAAGCGTAGAAGTTTCCTGCGTCCACGAACGGTCCTGATGACATCTTCTGATCGACAGCACGGAAAAGCTGTCGCACGAGTAAAGTATGAGCCGCAATGTTGCCCATGTTTTAGCAGGTTATTAATTGAGCCCCAAACCCTGGAACCCTAAGGCTTTGCACCCAACCTCATAGCCTAAACCCTATAACGCTGAACCCCAACAACCTGCATAACGACGTATGAGCTATGGTCTAAACTCCTAGCATCCCCCTTAATAAACCCTATAATAGTTCCTATACAATCCCTTATATATCCCCCTTTAAGGAGTTTGTTTAGATTGCAGCTCGTATGCTCTACACTGCGAGTTGCGGGAGGACTTCAAGTTGGCCATCGAGGAGCATGGGATTGAGCAAGAAAGCCAGGACTGGCTTCAGTTTTCAGCTATTCCCTTACCTCTTTCCCCACCCGTATAGTATTGTCAGTACGTTTGGGGAATATTTAATGATAGGGTGGAGGGGGAGGGTTAGCATTGGTGTGAAGGAATTCTTTGCGATTTGGGGTTCAGGCGTGGTATGGAGGGTGGTTTTTCCGTGCAAAGGCCCAACTGATGATCCCAATATCCCTAAACCCTAACCCTTGATCCCAATATTCTATTCCTTCACACTGTGCCAACCGACAGCAGGCTTTGCGTCACTGAGTTGGTGAGCCTAGGAACCCAAAAGACTCCCAGGTCCTCGCTCAGGGTCCAGGGCCTAGGGTTTGGGATTCTGGGTGTAGGAATAATAATAACAATGATAACAACAATAATAACAATAACTGATATTAAAAAACATAAATCACATTAACAATAAGGGTGTGGAGTGAAACTACGACAGATCAGGGAGCTTCTCAGAAGTGAGTCTATGCAGAATCTTCTATCGGGACTCCCAGAATTCTTTCGTAAACCCTGAGACATCCAGAATCTCTATCAGTGTGTATTAGGATGGTTCTCTTTTTGATATGGCCAGGCTGCAGCATTTGAAAAAGTATGCAGCAAAGCTGGCAGCATTTGAAAAAGTATGCAGCAAAGCTGGCATTGATGCCTCCGCGCTGAAATTCCTCAAGGCGCACCCAGCATCAAGGGGCTTAGGGTTCTACAGCTTTAGTGGCAGTTTTTTGCGGATGGTCGTGACTAGGCTGCTGGATTTCAGAGATTAGGGTTTAGTGTTTAGGAGCTTCGACGAGAGAACATACCCGTCCTTGTTCGATGAATTGCCTTGAACGATATCTCCCGCAGTTACGCTTCAAAATAGGAGGTGTTGCTATGAATTCTGACAGTCCTTGACGCCCAGCCCAAACTTCGAGACTTGCCTGGCAGGTATTGGGGGACAAGCGGGTCCTGGTGCTCCGCATGCGTGATATCTTTGAGGCTTGGGCTCGCAGCTACCAATGGCATGTTCAAACTGCGTTTCGTGTGGGGCCTGTCAAGATTATGCCACCAATTTGGGGTCCCCTGGATAGCCGCTCCCATCTGCCTTGCAGGGCAGGCATTGCACGAGTATAACGACGTAACATCTAGGGTTGGTTCATTAACAGAGAACACTCCTCACTCGATGCCAAGCCATATCTTCTCAATCGGGTAGGTATCAATGATAGGCACTACCACTGGAATACTAAGCCCCACCCCACATCTCGTTGCCAAGCGACACACGCAACCGTGAAGAACCCACAACCAGAAGCCTGTGGTTTCTTCTTCGCACTAAGTGCAGATGTCTCGAGACAGCTACTAGTTCCGTGATGCCTGTGGTATCTACAGAAGGTGGAGCAATTTTGGACCCAATCTTACATTTCTCAAATGACCCCTAGATACTCAAAAGCATTCCCCCCGATTCCCTTATGATCCCCTCGTGTCCCCTGGGTTTGCAGGCCCCCTCTCCGCTCTCAGAAACTCCCATATGCCTTGGATGCTGTCTGCAATCTGTCGAAAGTTCCTGAACATTCAAAGCATCAATATGCAAAGCCCTTAGCGTTACCCTGGCCATCGCCTGTTCTAGCCCTAAACTCCTAAACCCCTAAACCCTAAACTCCTAAGCCCTGAACCCTTAACGTAGGGGCACTACCCAGGTTGTATCCAGCAAGAGCCTAGGTGACCTCGGCAGCTACGCTGATTGATGCACAGAAATCTCGGGCCTGGCTTCCAGCTTGGGCTCCCTGGGGTTAGGGTTTGGGAGGTTGAGGGCTTCGGAATCTTGAAGCGAAATCTTCGCATCCTGAAGTGCTAGGACTTGTTCATGCTGTAATTTGCCTTCAAGGTCAAAGTTGTGTGAGAAGTTCTTAGATTCTGAGACACGTTACGTGGAACTCCTTGTCTTGCAAGGGCCAATCTCAGTATGAAGGTAGCAAGGAGGTGTGAAGGGTGGACGCAGGGTTCCTTGTCGCGATTCATTATCTGAATGGCTGGAAACCACAGACCCCCAGAACTCCATCAGTCCGCCTTTTAGTTTTTTTCTGCGAGATCTTTACGCGATGCTGTGCTTCTGCCTTTGGAGCTGCATAGTTTCCAGAAGCTTTCCCGTTTGCCTCGCGTTCCAGAAGTGTGGCAGCTCTGGCTGGACTTGCTTGTTTCGCTGTCGGGGTTGGGTAGCCAGGGAGGTGGTTTCATTTAGCAGGTTGCAAGCTACTCCACAGGGTTTGGCCATCAGCTTTCAAGGGGCCCTAGCGTTTTGTGGTTGTCATAGTGTGTCCAGCTAGTAGCGGGGATTTCTCCTGCCCAGCAGACCATCGCCTAACAATCTTCTGTCAGGGTCTCTGGACATGGCTATGTTGTCTTGGAGGAGACCTAGGACCCCACCCGTAACTAAAGTGCACTGCAATCCTCACGATCCCTGCGAGCTGAGGGTGCAGGCAATCCCCATCATTTGTATGCGGCGCAGGGGGTTGCAAAACCATACTCTCGATGGTGCAGACTCCTAATAAGCTTTAAAGTTTACACAATGCAAAACCTCGCAAATCAGCAGGCAGCGTGCTTGTACTTTTGTTGTGCCCATGGACGCTTGCATTTCAAGGGGACCTGGGTTTCAGCATACTGTTTTGAGAGCCCCTGTGAAGGACACTAGTCACTAGCAATGGGGACTACATGCGGGTTAGACTTGGGCTACATACACATTTCAGGTTTGTGGTTCGACGTTTGTGTACCGCCTTTCATATTTGCCTTCGCGCGTCCCGAGATTTTCGAATTTGAATGAGCAGGTGCAGGTGGCCATCCAGAAGCGAACTGAGAGCGGCTGGCTGAGTATGATGCGCACTTGACAGGGCTCAGAATTGGTCGTAATGGGTTTCTCCATGCGTTCTTGGGAGAACATGTACGGAATATGCGGGGACCATGGGGGGGGAGGGTCGTTTCGAGGGCCCTAGAAAGGTTGTTAGGGCACAGCTCCTGTAAGAAAGATGATGCGAGAGCGGAATGACGGTCATTGCAAACTCGTCTGCGTAAGGAAAGCCGTGACAGCAGTGTTGACAGACATGCATGAATCAGGTTAGACAGGGCTGTGATGGTATGAGCTTCGGGGAGCAGCTGAGGCTCGAAGCTGTTCATGGAGATTCATGACACCAACCCTGCACCGCAAGCCTCGGAATTCGCAGACTCTTGCAGCAAAAGCGACGGCTAGCAGCGTTGCAGTCGGGCGGTCGCTGTAGATCTGGAGAACCTGAGGCTTGGCGGTCTGGTTGTGAAGATCAGCGAGGCACTGCGAAGAGTCGTAGAGTTCGCGCATACCTGCGGTAGACTTGCACAAGCTGACTTCTGTTCAGATCTAGTCCGTGAGATATGAGACCTTCATCCCTGCTTAAGAGCTGCAGCCACGTGCTGCAAATAGCTGCAGGCTGTGCTGGACATATCCCAGTCAACACGCTTGGAGCGATGGCGGATGAAGCTGCTGGCACCATTCACATCGCTTCCCCTGCTGAAGCCCACGAGCTCCCGGGTTTGGTTGAGCTGCAACCTATTTCCATGAGGCTTGCAGCCGGTCCTGCTGCGGCCATGAGGTCGTAGAGCAGCTCCCGTTGATTGTCGATTCCAGATTGATTAAATCATTGCTTCAGATGGATTCTTTGCGGGTGCTGCCCGGTGTCTGCAATACGCATTGGAAAATATTGACGGGCCTTTCCTGCGCACCCTAAGCCCTAAACCCTACACCGCGTGTCTGCCTTGGCGCGCCTACGTACTCTGATTGCCAACTACATGGCAACTTGGGGTTGGAATTTCATAGATAGATTGGTGGCCTTTGCTGCAAACCCAAGTTGAAGTTGCGACAGGAGATGTCTGTTTGTCAACCTGTCGGTGCCCTGCATGCATTTAGCGAGAACAAGATGCTTCACAGAGCCTTCCGCATAAGACATCCATCTTGCAATACCCTAATCGCTCTAGGTGAAGTCCCCAGAGTCAACCGAACTATTCTCGGTTCATATGAGCTTTAATCTAAACTCTTTCAATGGGGTTTATTAGGGTAGCTTTATAGGGCTCATTAAGGGGGATTCTAGGAGTTTAGACTATAGCTCATATATTGGCGAACATACAGGGATGTAAAGGAATGGATGTGTTTAGGGGAATGAAAGGAGGATATTTTGCGAATTTCTCAAAACAATCCTTACATAATCCCTGATATGGACCTCCATAATCCTCTGCTGATCAAATGTATGAGCTACTGCTTAAATTTACCTCATACAGGGACCCAACCGAGAACATAATGGTCCTTCTTGTAGTTTAACACAGCCCCTGACCTAGTCCCTAATAAGGAACCCATGTCCAGTAAATTGTGTAGGTCATATTGACTGTGACCCATATACATATCCGTATATATATATATATGTATATGTATATGTTTGTATCCTTGGGGTCCCCAGCGTCCCCCGGCTTTAGAAACTCCCATATGAGAACCCTACATAAGCTGCGGTCTTCTTCGCCACTGTTTTTATGTTTAATATTGCTAGTATAGTTTACCCCTAAGGGAATTGATGGAAATACTGGTCTTCACATAGGGGCATGGCAGTAAGGTTCCTTCAAAATGCATGGTTTATCAAGTTGAAGACCAGATTTAAACACCTGAGCCCCAGACCCTAAAACCGACACCCAAGCCCTAAACCCTTAAACCTAAACTCCATAGTCTAATCCCTAAAACCTACAACCCAAACCCTAAAACGCCTAAACCCTAAAACCCTCAAACCCTAAAGCCCTAAACCCTCAAACCCAAAACCTTAGAACCCTCAAACCCAAAACCTTAGAACCCTCAAACCTAAACCCTTATGGTAGTTTCCCTAAATAAGGGGACCCCAATATATACTCCAATATCTTATTATCCTTACTATGGGGACCCCCCAAAAAAGGTACCCCTAATTTGGGGAAACCCTAATCCCCAAACCCTATATATCCCTATATACCCCTATAAACCCTTTTAAAGGTACCCCTAAT